ATAGAAAATAAATATATTGACCTCTGCCCCTAGTTCTTGGCACAGGTCTCCTTAAAACCGTTGCAATTTCCTAAGTGTTAAGAACACTAGGAGCATCTTTTGTTCTAATATTTGCCCTTGACCCAGGTTCCTGACACAGAATTCCCAAATCTCTTGGAATTTCCTGGATGATAGGAGTATCTTTTGTTCTAAGAAAGAGAAAATTGGGGTCTGGGGTGATAGGCAGGCACAGGACATGACTCTGCTTCCTCTTCCATGGGAAGAAAAATTAGATCAGTGGTAAAAGTTGAAGATAGTGGGTCAGTATCTGAAAGGTCTTTCTAGGAGTCACAGCCATTCGGCCTTAAGATATGCTTCCGGGGGCACCTGGGTGGCTCAGCCAGTTAAGCCTCCAACTTCAGTTCAGGTCATGATCTCATTTAGTAATGCTAAATACTGAGCTCCCCATCACTAGACATATCTAAGTGCAGATTAAGTGACCTCTTTTGGAGCATGCTCTAGAAGGTTTTTTTTTTTTTTTTTTAATTTTCTTTTAATGTTTTATTTATTTCTAGGAGAGAGAGAGAGACAGCATGAGCAGGGGAGGGTCAGAGAGACCGATCGATACAGAATCTGAAATAGGCTCCAGGCTCTGAGCTGGCAGTCAGCACAGAGCCCGACGCGGGGCTCGAACCCACGAACCGCGAGATCATGACCTAAGTGAAAGTCGGACGCTTAACCGACTAAGCCACCCAGGCGCCCCTCTAGAAGGTTTTGAAAGACTGGTGGCCACTTGGATAAGAGAGTGTATAAGTTCCTCTACATAATCCCCCCCCCCCCATTTTTATTTCTAAGGAATTCATTCTAAGGGAGCAATCTGATTAAGGTGCGTGCATAAGATTACTATTTCGGAACTGACTATTTTGGCTAAGGATACAGAAAAACCCCAAATGCCTAACAATGAAGAAATGAATCATGATACATCCCTACTATGAAATACCAAGCAAATAGTTTGGAATATTTTAGTACACGTGTTTATTGACATGGAATGATAATCACAACATAGTACTAAGTGAAAATGCAGATTATTAAAAATACGTGTTATCCTGTTCCACTTTATTTTTTAACCATTTCTTCACAATATTTGCATTACAAATGGAAACTTGGAAAAATATGCTTTAAATACTCATGGTGGTTATCTCTGGATGGTAAGCTTTGGGGCAAATTTAACTGTTTTTTTTGGGTTTGTGTGTATTTTATAATTTTTCTCTAAAGAGGGGGGATTACCTTTGTAGTAGTAACAAGCATAAAGGGTAACAGAGCTCTGAGGCTCTGTCAACTGCTGGGGTGAAGAGAGGACCCCATCTGAGATGAACAGTGAAGGCCGGTGACCCCAGACCCACGATGTCCCTCCACAGCTGAAATCCAGGAGCGTGGCAGAACTTCAAAGGCTCAGGGAAAGAGAGCCCTCAAAGCAGCCAGCCCCGGAGAGGGGAAGCCCCCCGAAGCCCCAGGCGGGGAAAAACTCAAAGCAGACCGGAGCCAGAAGACCCTGCAGATGAAGACCCCTACGGAGGCTGCAGCCTCAAGCCTCCCAGCCTCCTCCATCCTGACCCAAGTGTTAGGGAGGGGCTGCTTCCAGAAGGTGGGGGACTCTCTGAGCCTATGGGCCAGGGATGCCCTGGAGCTTCGCTGCCGGGGGAAGGTGGTTCGCTGGAGGGTGCCCGTCTACCTGGAAGAGGAGGGCAAGGAACGCCTGAGGTATGCCATGGGGTAGCTCCTGTGATAGCCTCATGGGTCCAGCAGTGCACGCACAATTTGATGACTGTTTTTACAGGGATGAAAGCGGCCCAGAATCCACAAGGGGCTTCCGTTAGGCACAACTACAGTCATCTGAAAGAAACAGTAAGTTGTGCTCACAAGACCCGCCAGATGTGGAGTGGTTTAACAGAACGAGAGACAGGGCTTCCCACAATCCTGGATGTCAATTCTGGGAGCAGCAATGGTGCCCGTAGGGAGAAAGGTGGCAATCGCATGGGAAAGAGGCTGTCTGACTTATCTGTGCCTGAATGTCGGGCTGAGACGCCCTTATGTCAGGGACGCCATCATAGGGGAGACAGAAATGAAGGCAAAGTTGACCCCACCAGCATTGCTCACCTCAAGTCCAGAAGAAAATCAGGCAGAGGCTGGGATATAAAACTGGGTTCAGGAGATTTGCCTACCCTCTCTCAATTCAGCCTATTAAAGAGAGATTTCCTGGGACCCTGCCTCCTTTAGGGGGTGGGGTCGCTTAGTGGGCATTTACTGGCCAAAAGAGTGAGACACAAAGAAGGAGCCAACGAGCACAAAGGAGTTGAGGGGTGCCGTTTGCAATGTAAGGACAAGGTCTGTGAGGAGTAGATGGGCCAATCAGATGATGTGCATGAGGTCAGAGAGAGGTGAGCAACCTGCACATCCTCACAGCTTAAGTGGGGAAGGGAGAAGACTGAGTGAGTGGGCCATGGGATCAAAGTTGGGGAGGGGGAGTGTCAGCCGACTTGACTCAACGCTGCTCACTAGGTGTCCCAGGCCACCCCATCTCCTGCCTGCCTCACCCTGGCCCAGCCCCATGCCTGTCTTTCAGAATCAAGCACTTCAGCGGTCACAGCCAGCTGCGGCTGGTGAACTCGACAGGGGCAGACACGGGGGAGTACAGCTGCTGGGCTCGGCACTGCCTGGACCACGCATGTGCGGAAGGCGAGGACCGCCAGGGAAAGACTTTCATCTTCTTCACAGGTGCCCTGGACTCAGGTCTCCGAGAACATCAGTCAAAATGACAAAGCTGGAACTAGCACGCTTACCAGTCTAGAACCCCCTACCAGAGAGGAAAAAAGCACCCCAGAGTGGGAATGGGATTTTAAGTCCCCATGAGGGACCTCAAGTTCATGGCCGGTAGTAGAGCATCAGGAAACAACTAATCTGTGCCAAGCTCATTCTTCTCTCTCCCTCCTTCCTTCCCAGACGCAGAGGAGCTCTTTGTCCCCACCGAGGATTATTATGAGGTGGTGCGGTTGCACAGCCATCAACCAGTCCTGCTTCCCTGCCTGGTGACCAATCCTCTGGCCCACGTGACACTGCACCGGGAGTTCCCCCCAGAGGAAGTCCCAGTGGATGGAATAGACATCTCCTTTGATGTGAAGAAGGGCTTCACCATCCACTGGCCCCGAGCATCCTTGGCTGACTCCCTCTTCTGCTTGGCCAGCCTGGGCGGCTTGAGACAGATCTCTACCCAGTACATGCTAATCTACATCAGGTGTGTGTGGGCCTCGGGTCTGGGTGGGCAAGGCAGGGGAGGATGTGGGGACAGATGCCTCCTTTAGAGACCTCAGATCTGAGTTCTGTGGATCATGGAACGCTGAATAACCAACCAGTTTTCTACAGCACCCCATGTAGTCAACCATCTTGTCCAGACAGGCATCCAGGCAGCCATTGATCGACACCGCATCAGTGCAGCCTTTCTGTCCATCCACTCATTCTCAGTCACGTCACACTATTCCATTCATCCACCTTCCCCTCAAACCCATTCCATTCACCCATCTTCCATCAGATCACCTGTTCCATCATCTATCCATTCCCTATCAATTCAACCACCCCAACCATTCACCCTCTAGGAACTTACCCATTCCACCCATTCATTTCATTCAATGGTTCCAACAATCAGTTCAACATGTTTGTTCCCATTTCTCTCCCATCCTCTCCACGGCAGACCTGTCATACCCCCCCAAACCCACCATCCAAGCTTCAGCAACATCAGTCCGACTGGGAGAGAACTTCAGTGTGACCTGCACGGCTCTGGGTGAGCCGGACATTGCTGTGGACTTTATCTGGGAGTATCCAGGGCAGAAGGCAAGCAGAGGGTAAGAGGAGGCTGCGTGTGTGTGTGCTGACGATGTGTCGGGCAGGAGCATGGGGGTGAGGAATTAGGATGAGGGTCAGGAGCGATCATGGCAGAGTGGAGCCACTGCCTGACAGGGGATCTGAGGAACCTGCTTCTCTGCGTGACCTTGGCAAGTCACTTCCCTTTTCTGGGCCTCAGTTTCCTCATGTGTTAAATAGAGCAACTTCTTAGGTTACTGTATACAATTTTTCCTTTGTTAATTTATCCAGCAATGGTTACTGAGCACCCACCACATGCCAGACACTGTACTAAGTGCTGAGACCACAATGATGAGGCGAAAACAGATATGGCTTCCGCTGTCTGCAAGTTCGCAGTGGGAAATGAACATGATCATCAAGAGAAAACTAAGTGCTACCCTGAGGATACAGCAGGACAATGTGATAGGGTCTTAAGATAGGGTCGTCAGGGAGTCTTCTGTGAGGTGACATTCGAGTTGAGGCTAGACTGGCCCAAGTCTCATGAAAATGGGGTTGAGGCAAGTGCTTAGTCCCTATGGCCGGTGCGTGTGTAATAGGAGATGAACAAAACACATTAGCAATTATCTCCTGGGCATCTGCCATGGGCAAGACCGTCTTCCTAAGGTGCTACTGGAGAGGTGATAGTCATGTTCCTTCCTCTAAAAGAACTTACTCCCATAGCCCTCAAACATCTGGAGAGCAGCTGGGTCAAACGGCACATCCACCAGCACTGAAAACTTCAGGGATTCTTGAAAAGGCTTCCTGGAAGGGCTGGAATTTGATGTGAGCCTTGGAGGGTGGGCAGAACCCGGCAATGACCTGGTGAAGGCGAGCTCACCAGGGGCCTTAGGAGGGACAGAATGGGGGACGAGTCTCCTATTTGTCAAAAATGGAAACCGAGACCCATCAAGGGGTAAAGAACACACCTGTGGTTGGGAGCCATGGCTTCGCTATGCTAGCATTTACCCAGACTTGTTCCTTGGAATGGTAGCATACCACAAAATCCAGCCCCAACCCCCACCCCCCCCGCCAAAAAAAAGTGCTATTCGGAAAATACTGCCTCTTATAACCATCATCTGCCTCGGAGATTCAAAACTCACATGCATATGTGACAGACTCAGTGGCTGGAGTGTCCCCAATTTGATTTTACTTGACTCAGTGCTTCTCAAACAATTTTCATGAGAATCCCACTGCCCCCTCTTTGGGGAAGCAGTACCCATTAACACCCCCACAAAACCAGAGTGCCACAGAACCCACACTGGGGGGTGCTGCTCCCAGCCAAGTCACTTCCTGTATCTCCCTGAGCAGTAGAGGAGACCCCAGGGACTTTAGAAGCTCATGTTTCCCACAAAGAACCTGGCCTTTCAGGTGCTCTGATACATGTGTGTGACCTTGGGCGAGTCATTGTCCCTTTCCCTGAAGGGACACACAGTGCCTCTTACTTGCCTCTGATGCCTAAGTCAGAGATGACACCTGGGGTAGCTAACAGTTATTTTTTGTCCCTCCAGCTGGGCCGACCCCCCTATGTCAATATCGTTCGCAGAGAGGGCCAGGTGCAGGAGGAGGCAGGGGGCACCCTCCATGTGGAAGAGGCCCGGGCTGGGGACTCTGGCATCTACACCTGCCGGGCCACCAACCTTCAGGGCACAGGGACTGCCACCACCCACGTCCATGTGACCAGAAGCCCTCCTGTGTCCCCTGCCCCCTCCTAGCTCCTTCCCTGGCCGCTGGCATCCTGGTCTGGAGCAATGGGGAGAAACAGGGGTAGGTAACTGCGTGAACCTTGGTGTTTTTGGTGCCAAGCCATTGTCCCCCACGGATCTGCACTCCCCCGATACTCTGCCTGCCCATCACTGCTTCCATGCCTTGCATCAGCCTCACAGCCTCCCTCCCGGCCCTGACCTCTTCTCATGGCCAGCCGTCACTCCAACATCAGGCCCCACTCCAAGGCTGGGCAGAGCTAGGGCCAGTGGGGTACCAGCACCCCAGGAGGGAGCAGAGAGTCACTGGCGAGTCACCAAAGCCCAGATCATATCCTTCAATGATCCCTGCCGCTGGCTGAGGTCCTCAGGGAGGAGTCGCCTCCTCCCTCTCCCAGGAAAACACAGGGGCCAGATAAACACACTACCATAGTTTCCACAGCTTGTCTGCCCCAGCGTGAGGCCATGACCACAGTTTATCTCCTTGCATCTGCCATAGGCCACATGATGGGAACCCTGCTCCCCACAACTTGCCCCCTCTCCATCCAGGCCCCTCTCCATTAAAACCATGCTTTCTAAAGTGCATTCTGCAGCCTGAAGTGCTTAGGTTGGGGTAGAAAGTTGGTCACAGGAGTTTAGAAAATGCTGGACACTCTGCTTCCTTCTTGGAAATTTGCACTGCACATTACCATGTTAAAGGTTCTGAGAAGTCCCGCACTTTGCAGATCTGTTTAACTGGACTGAACCTAGAGTTTCTCAAATTACTTGGCCATCAAATCTTTTCTTGGTCAGGCCTATTAATGTGCAGTGAATGAGTGTATCCCAGACTAGCTCTGGGAAAAGTTGCATGAAGAAGTACGTGTGTACTTCACTCCAGAGCTCTTCCCAAGGCTCCCAGATAGATAACTTGTTTTCCCAAGGCTGGAGAAAACAGCTCAGCACTCCCCTAGCCCTACTAGGGGAGAAATGGAGAACGGAGAAACAGAGTCACATCTGAACTCCCAGAACTACAAATGGCTAAAGACCAGACCAGGTCTAGGGGAATAAAGGCGGCAATCTGGGATGATGGAAGAAACCTCAGTTCTACCGGATTGGCTTTTCTTACTTGCTGGCCTGGGGCCTGGGGCTAGGGCTGAGGGATGTCAGGCAAGGCCCCCCGGCTCCCGTGATCTGTTTACTCTGCTGCTGAAGAGGAATAAGAACCGGCTTGAAGGATCCTAGACGTATCTGAGAGCATTGAATGAAAATGCTCTGTGCAGGGGAGCGATTATCATTATAGCTTCCAGCTGACCCAAAGCTTCCTGAGAAGAAGAGTAAATCCACGGACAGTCTGGGCTGGACAGGCCTGCTGAGGTTGGTTACTCTAGCTGCCCCTCTGCACTGATGGGGAAGCTGAGGATCAGGTTCCGGGGTCCTGGCACCTGGCATCAGGGGTGATAGGAGTCAAGGTAGAAAGGAGTAAGAGGGACCAGAAGTGAGTGGGACAGGTAGAGGACGGAGGAGAAAGGCTAAGTCACACATCTGATCCTTCCAGAGCCTGGGGAGAAAAACAAGCACAATATGCTGAGAGCTGGATGACAGAGGAGGTCCTAGTCCTGGCTTTGTGGGCCCCATTCCCCTCTTCGGTTTCCTTGTCAGTACAGGGAGGAGGTCCCAGCTCTGCCTGTTGAGTGTACCCAGGGGGCACTGAGACTGAGGGACCCGGAGGGCTGAGGAGTTAGCCTTGCCTGTTGGGCGAAGAGGAGTTCTGGCTTAACCGCTGGGCTGACCCGACTCTGGGACGGGGACCAGTGGCATACCCCACACTATACCCAGCCGCAACCCCAAGGGCCTCCAGTGACCCCCTTACCAGCGCCCACCTTTCCCTGTTGATTCCCAGGGTGTGGGCCACTTCCTCCTGCATCCCCCAGCCCCTAGTCTGAGCCTCACACCATCCCAGAATGGGGCACTGTAGTGACTTAAGTATCATTCGCTCGGCTCCCCTGGCTGTTTTACAGGAGTGGTAAACTGAGGCTGAGGGAGGGCCCGGCCAGAGGTGGAAACATCTGGGGGAAGCTGACAAGTCAGGACCAGGTGGTTGTCACTTCATCAGATGGCCACAGCACCATTGGCTGCTCCTGGGAAAAGCTTGGGACTTCCCTGATTTGGATGGAGAGAACGGGGAGGGACGGAAGGGCTCCTCTTTGCTTGTTTCCTGGGCCAACTCGAGGGGAGGCGCTTCTGGGGCCTCAAAGCCCTGTGGGTGATCCTGCACGGCCCAAGCCCCCGGGGGCTCACTGGGCAGCACCCTGGCTGCCCGCCTGGCTCCTGCCCTCCCGCCCCTCCTGGGCACACAACGAGAGGCTCCTGCTGTCTTCTCTGGTAAGTCCTCAAGAGGGCGCTGTGACCACAGGCGTCCCGGCCGTGTGTCCTAGCTGGCGAGGAAGGAGACCTCGGTGGGGGTGACTGAGGCCAGAGGGAAGGCGGGGGAGGCGTCGGGGGCCCCAAGGACCCGGTACAGCAGCTCCTCCTTCTCTTGCTGGAGCTGTCGCCGCAACTGGCACTCCTTCTCCAGGGCCTCGCGGGCGAGAAGCAGGTCCTCCGAGAGCTGCCTGTGGATGCAGACGGGATCGGCGTCGCCAGGGGGAAACAGCCGGTCAGCGGCCGCACAGACCAACCCATTCCTCCAGGAGGCCCTCCTCACGTGGGCCGCCAGCCTGCTTCAGGGCCCCCACCGCCCTGTCGCCCTGATCTCCGCCTGTGTGCAAGAGGTCATTCGATCCCTTGCCGGAGGGGCCTGGCCCTCCCAGGCAGGCAGCTCCGGGTTCAGATCTGCCCCACCACTTAGCTGTGCAACCTTGGACAAGCTATTTCCTCTTGCCAAATATCAATGTCTTCATGGGTAAAATGGGGCTGATAATAGGAAGACCCAGCTCTTCGAGTAATTATAAGGATTAGGCGAGACACTATGTAAAGCATTCAACAAATTATATCTGACACATGATGCAGGCTCTAAGCAGTTCATTCATTCATGTGCATTCATTCATTCATTCATTAGGTCACCTCAACTAGACATTTCCTGTCCCCTTTTCCTGTATTGGGCTTTGCCGTGGAGCCTACACAGCCAGGATGGGGACACATACCAGTCTGGGCACTGAAACAGGCTTCCAGGCAGAGCTGGGTCCCTTGGGAGTCTTGACATCCAGGGAAAGAGGAGCCAAATTCCCCAGAAAGGCCTGTGCCCCGCTGTCAATCTAGGCTTCTCCGAGACCCTCTTAAGTAGGGATTTTGGCCAAAAGGGCCGGTGTGGGAGGAGAGGGGGCAGGGAGGCAGCTACCTGGACATAACCACCTGGCTGCGGCCCCGGACGTGGAGCTCCTCATTTTCCTGCTGCAGAGTGGTGATTTTTTCCTCCAACATCAGATTTTTTTCTTTCTGCAACACATCAGAAGGAGCTCAGAAAGCCACCCGACTCAACACGGCACAGCGTGTGCCGTCACCCTCCTCTTATCTGTGGTCACTAAACATACTGAGTCACTCTGGACTAGATGTTACATTTCGTGAAGCAAGGAGGCGGACACGGGGCTGCCAACTTTTGATTTTGCCACATGGGACGTAGAAAAAGAATACAGCCCCTCCCACGTAACATTTCCATCAGATCATAAGGGAATGGATATTTTTGGTTCTCCCAAAGTCAGAAGGATATAATCTATATAAACAAGATTACGCGTGTCTGTTATACTAGTTCACGGAAGTGGTAGAAGGGAATTCACAGGGACTGTGTGAGACGGGCCTGCTTAGAATACAGGCTGTGCAGGGACACTCCTTCCAGAGCAAATCGTCTCTGTTTGGACGCGACCCCGGGCTCCCCAGGCCGCCCTTTTCCCGGAGACAAAGCCATCTGTGTGCTCAATGCCCACCCCTCTCCAGGCCCGTCCTTGCTCACTCTGGCCTCCTGCCTCGGTCTGATTTTTCAGCCTTGCCTTCTTCCCCAGACCCTGCCTGACACAGAACATCTACCAGCTCCTCCTGATTAGCCAGGTTACCTGCCCTGGTGTCACCCACGTTAGGGCAACATGAATTGTCAAGAAAAGCACAGGGCCCGTATGAGAAGGAGCCACTGCTTGACCCGGACTGGCCACAGACCGGCTGCAGCCACCCCGGGGCCAGCATGGAGGGCAGGTCAAAGCCAGGGTGGCCCAGGCTGGGGCCTCTTCAAACTGCCTTCCCTCTGCACACTTTACAGAGGAAAACAGAAGCCTGAAGTGTATCTCCCCCGCCCACCGCTTCCAGCACACACCACTGTTTCCATGAGGATCAGCCGCTTATCCAGCTCATGGATACGCTCGTTCTTCATCTCGATGACAAAGTGTAAGCTCTCCAGTTCCTGTTCCCAGAACTGGCTGGGGCTTCCGTAATCCTAGACGGGGACACAAAGTGATCTCACCAGTCCTGCAGGGAGAGAGGGGCCCGGGCTACCTGCCTCTCCCCCATTCTGCCTCCAGATCATTGTTTGCCTCTCACATGCTGCCTCCCTCTCTTGGCTCACGGTAAGTGTTTACTATGCGTGATTTCATTCTAGCCTAATAACACCCTTCGAGGCAAGCCCGACTACCACCACAGCTGGGGACCCATGCTGCAGATCGGGTAAGTCACTCGCGCCAAGTGGTAGGTTAGCTCTTTGCACCTAATTCCTTCTTTTTTTTTTTTTTTTTTTAAATATTTTTATTTATTTCTAGGAGAGAGACAGAGAGAGACAGCGTGAGCAGGGGAGGGTCCGAGAGAGAGGGAGTCACAGACCGAAACAGGCTCCAGGCTCTGAGCTGGCAGTCAGCACAGAGCCCGACGCGGGGCTCGAACCCACGAACCGCGAGATCATGACCTAAGCGAAAGTCGGACGCTTAACCGACTAAGCCACCCAGGCGCCCCGCACCTAATTCCTTCTGAATCCAGAGTCTGAGTACTTTACTATCCCTTGTGCTCTGAGCCTTACTTTCCCTTCAGCGACACGAGGACCCTGTTTCTTCCAGGCTTTTTGAAGGTGAGAGTGTCAAGTCTGAGCCCTGGCTTTGAGGAGGACCTGACCTTTCCTGTTGCCCAGACCCTGCCCTCCCTGGAGATTCAAGAAGGAAAAGGTCCCAGGTGTTATCTGCCACCCACCTGGATGTGCTTCTTATAGTCTCGGCTCAGAATGGACTCTTCTACCCTCTTCATCTTGGCCTGGAAGACCTCCAGCTGTGAGGACAGTCCATCAATGGTCTCCTGGAGAAGGGAATGCAAGGGAGATGGTCAAAGCCTGGTTCACAAAGGCTGAAGGTGGATTTCCGCACATCCCGGAGAGGGGTCAGTTTAGGGTTCTTCAGTCTACCTTCGCTCTGCCCTCCCCAACAATGCAGGCTAGATTTGCTTCAACCACTGCTTGAAACACACCAGCCCCATCTCTTGTCATAAAGCCTTAATGGCTCCCTATCCCCTTTGGGACAATGTCCTGGTGTTTAAGGTTGGTGCTAGGTTGGCATTCAAAGCCCAACCAAGCCAGGCTATGCACTTTCCCAGTCTTCCCTCTCGCTGCTCCTTCGGCCAGGCGTCACATCAGTTCTGCTGCTGCTGCTGGGCACATCCCTGCCTCCTACATTCCCCTGTTAAGAGTCTCCTCCACCTCAACCTTGGCCATCACCTTTAGGATAGAGCATGGCTTTGATATGGCCCACAGGCCCCACGGCGTGGCCCTCACCTCCTGTCTGACCTCAGCTCCCTCCCACTCACCCTCTTCACCCCAGGCATCCTGGACTTCTTTCAGTTCTGCAGGTATTTCATATTTCCCCCTCTTCTCCAAGTCTTTAAGCACAGGTCTCCACTCCCCCCCGCCTTCCTAGGGCCCCCTTCTCACCCTTCTTCATCTAAAGAATTCCAACCCATCCTTCAGGTTCCAGCTAAGATTTCATCCCTCCGGGAAGTGCCTGACCTGATAAATTGGCTCAGACGCCAGTTTGTGCTTCGACCTGCCAGCCCAGTCTCCCTGTGGTACCTGGCCCATGAGGTCTCCAAGATCCTCCAACAGTCCTTAGACAAATAGGCCAACCCTAATCTCAGAGTTAGTCCTCTGGAGCTAATAGCCCAGTCGTCACATGGAGGGGCCGGATACACGAAGACACTCGCTTCTGACCCTCACATCTAAGTAGAAGCCATGCTGTTTTCCCACAGGCCCTCCCCTCCCCTCTCCTCCCCGAGTCTGCCATGGCCCAGCTCTTCTCACCTGCAGAGTCGCCTTGGCCTCCTGGAAGGAGTGGGTAAGGGCTTCCTTCTCCTGCTCATGTGAAGCCTGGAGGACTGCAGGGAAAGGAGACCTCTATGAGCTCAGATGCCCTATGGCTTTATGGCAGGACCCACGAGGGAGGGGAACCCGTGTGATTAGCAGGGGCCCCCAGGGGCCAGGGGTCTGGGGATGGTCTTATTCGATCTTTGTTTACTGGGCTTGCAGCTGTGCCAGAAATCTAGTAGACACTTAATAATCTCATAGACATGGAAACAAATTATATCCTCAGAGGACCTGTGGGGCCACCCCCTGCCTCACTGAGGCCATGACCCAAAGATCCTGCTGCGAGCTTGTTCATTTTGTCCACCACGCCATGGAAAATGCATAGAGCCAGTGTTTTGCAAGCTGGGTTACCCAAACTTTGAAACCATTGAATCATCACTTATCAAACAATAATGGCACAAAACTGCAATAAGTACATCGGGTCTGGGGCCCGGAAATCTACCTTGTCCTGATTCTGCTTCTTCACGACTGAGAAACCTTGCGAAGATCCCTTCGAATACCTAAAAGTCCTATTGCCTCAACTGTGAAATGAGTTGTTGCTAAGGGATGACCCAAGGATGATATGAGAAAAGGGCTCAAGGGCTTTCCCTTGATTGATTCCCCCAAATCAATATAATTTTGTTTGTTTGTTTGTTTAGAGAGGGAGAGCGAATCCCAGGCAGGCCCAGTGTGATCAGCACGGTGCTCAACTCAGAGCACGATCTCATGAACCATGATCTCATGGTCATGGTTCATGAGATCGTGCTCTGAGCTGAAATCCACTGTTGGACACTTAACCAACTAAGCCACCCAGGCACCCCCATATGGTTATATTTATTATCCCCCCTCCTTTATAGAGCTCCTTATAGAAAATTCTAACCTTGGGGGCGCCTGGGTGGCTTAGTCGGTTAAGCATCCGACTTTCGCTTAGGTCATGATCTCGCGGTTCGTGGGTTCGAGCCCCGCGTCGGGCTCTGTGCTGACTGCCAGCTCAGAGCCTGGAGCCTGTTTCGGTCTGTGACTCCCTCTCTCTCTGACCCTCCCCTGCTCACGCTGTCTCTTTCTCTCTCTCTCTCTCCCTCCTAGAAATAAATAAAACATTAAAAAAAAAAAAAAAGAAAATTCTAACCTTGTCTCAGCTGAAAGAAGACAACTGGGAAGCGACCCATCAATGGGTGGGATGGGAAATAGGATGGAGAGGACGGAGGAAAACAAAGCTGCATACGACCAAAGGCCCAGGTATGCAACGGGCCTGTGTCACAGTGGCCAGTGACACACACAAAGTAATATAAATGTGACAGAGCTGTCAAAAACAAAAAAGATCAGCTGTTTGAAAAATACAGGCTAAATTTTTTCCAAATGATGGGCCTAATTTGTTAATTTGCCTACTAAGACAGGTTCTGATTCCAGCTAAGATGGAAGATGTACACTCCAGATAGTTTGTCCTACTGAATGTAGCTATAAAACCTAGACAGACTGAATAGGGTAGTTATTTGCAGACTCCGAAAGGCAAATAATGGTAGTAGGCAGGTGGGCAAGAAGACTGGAATTCAAAGTAGCACGGAACCAACAGGTGTAAACAAGACTCAGAATCGCGTGCATTCAAATTATTCCAGAATATAATACAAAATTACTCAGCATGTGAATCCAAACAGCAAAAGCAGGAAAACTTAACTTGGCTGAGACAAGACGGTCAGATGTCAACCCTGAGATGCTACAGATGTTGGAATTATTAACAAAGACTTTGAGGCAGTTGATATGAAAATGCTTCATGAAGTAAGGGTGAATACTCTCTAAAAGAATGTACAGATAGAAAGCCTTAGCAAATAATAGAAGCTATTAAAAAGAACCAAAAGGAAATTTTAGAACTAAAAAATGTAATAAATGAAATAAAATAAGTCACTGGGTGGGTTCCATAGCAGAATAGAAATGACATAGGTAAAGAGCCAGTGAACTTGAATATAGATCAATAGAGATTATCTAGTCTGAACAACAGAGAGATAAAACGATAGGGAAAAAAATGAACAAAGTCTCGGGGACCCAAAACACAATTCGGAAATGTCTAATATTCGTGCATCAGAGTCTCAGAAAGAGAAAAGAGAGAATGCAGTACACAAACTGTGTTTGAAGAAAGAATGGATTTGAGTGCTTCCCAAATCTGGCAAAATGTAAACCTACAGATTGAAGACACTCCCTGAACCCCAAACAAAGCAAACCAAAAGTAATCCACACCCGGGCACATCATTTTTGAAAACTAATAAAAAGAAAAAAATCCGGAACAGAAGCAGAGAAAAACAATGCATTACTTAGAGAAAACAACAGTTTGAATGACTGTGGATTTCTTATCAGAAACCTTGGAGAGGAGAAAAAGTAAGAACTATTTATGTTCTTAAGAAAAATTGCTTAAATAAAAGAACTGTGTGTGAATCAAGAATCTGATAGTCAGTGACAATATCCTCAGGAAAGAAGGTGAAATACAGACATTCTCAGATGAAAAAATACTAAAATAATTTCTTACTTGCAGACCTTCTAAAGGAATTGCTTAAGGAAATTCTTCAGACAGAAAGCAAATGATACCAGAGGAAAATTTGAAACTTCAGGAGTGTAGGAAGAACAACCAAACTGGTAAATGCCTGGGTAATATTCTTCCTCTTCTTCCCTTGTGCTCTTTAAAATACAAGTGATGGTAAATCAATGCTGTAAACAGTGTAACATTGTCTGATGGGGCATTCAGTATATGTAGATGTAATACCTAAGACAAATATAACAAAACGGAGAGAGGATGTGGACCTACGTAATGGTAAACTTTCTACATTCCACTCAACATGGCAAAATATTAACTCTAGGGGCACCTGGGTGGCTCAGTCAGTTAAGCGTCTGACTTCCACTCAGGTCATGGTCTCATGGTTCATGGTTAGAGCCCCACCCACAGGGGCTCTGTGCTGACAGCTCAGAACCTGGAACCTGCTTTGGATTCTGTGTCTCTCTCTCTGCCACCGACTCCTCACCCTTGCCGCCCATGGTCTGTCTGTCTCTCAAAAATAAATAAACATTAAAAAATTTTAAATATTAATTCTGAGTTGTCTCTTAAGTATTTTGTAATTCTTAGGGCAAAGGATTTTTTTTTTTAATTTTATTTCTAGGATAGAGAGAGACAGTGTGAGCAGAGGAGGGTCAGAGAGAGAGGGAGACACAGACTCTGAAACAGGCTCCAGGCTCTGAGCTGGCAGTCAGCACAGAGCCCGACACGGGGCTCGAACCCACGAACCGCGAGATCATGACCTAAGTGAAAGTTGGACGCTTAACTGACTAAGCCACCCAGGCGCCCCAGGATTTTTTTTTTAAAAAGGAAAGAAAGCAGGGAAAAAAGAGGATAAAAAACAGAACAACCAGAAAACAAATACAAAAATGACAAACCTAAATCCAGCTGTATCAATAACAACACTAAGCTAAAGGGTCTAAACATCCTAAATAAAAGACAGGGATTGTTAGAATGGATCCTTAAAAAAAAATACCCCCAGCTATGTGCTATTTATAAGAAACCCACTTTAAATATATGTCATAGGTAGATTAAAAGTAAAAAGGTAGAAAAAGCAATATTAATCAAAGGAAAGCTGTAGTGGCTATATTCATTTCAGATGAAGTGCACATAAGAATAAGGAATATTACAAGGATGAAGAAGGTCATTACATAATGGTAAAGAGGTCAATTCTCCAAGAAGGCATAATAATCCTAAACGTTTATACACTAACAAAGGAGCTTCGGAATATATGAAGCAAAAACTAACAGAACTTAAAGGAGAAACAAATACATAATTATAGTTGGAGACTTCTACACTCTTCAGTATTCATTAGAAAAAGGAGGCATAAAATCAGTAAGAATATAGAAGAACTGAACACTGTCAACACACTGATTTAATTAATTTACAAGCTACAACCTCACAGTAGCAGAATACACTTTTTCAAGGGCACATGAAACATTCACAAGATAGACCATATCCCGAGTCATAAAACAAGCCTTAGCAAATTATAAAGTGAGCAAAATACAAACTATGTTCTCTGACCACAATGAAAACAAACTGGGAATCAGTCACGGAAAGAGAACTATAAATCTCCAAACACATAGTGTTCGATGAGCCAAAGAGTAAGTCTCAAGGAAAACTAGAAGATATTTTGAACTGAACAAAAATAAAAATACAAAACATCAATCTGTGGGATAATTCAGTATTTAGGGGAAATTTGTAGCACTTAAGGCTTAGATTAGAAAAGGAGAAAGGCCTCAAATCAACAATCTAAGCTTTTAGTTTAAGATACCATAAAAAGAAGAGCTAAATATAAGGCAAAAAAGCAGAAGGAAGGAAACAGAAATCAGTGAGATTGAAAACTAGCGGGGAGAAATCAATGAAACCAAAAGCTGGTTTTTGGAAAGGATTAATAAAATTGATAAACCTTAAGCAAGACTGACAAAGAAAAAAGAGAATGCACAAGCCACCAATATCAAGAAATTAAGAGGGAATACCACCAAACACACAGAAGATACATAAAACAATAGTAAGAGGCCACTATGACCAATTCCATGCATATAAACTCGACAACTTAAATGTACCGATTCCTGAAAAAGCTACAAACTATCAAAATTCACCCAATGTGACGACCCCTCAAAACAATGCCACCTTTAATGTATAAATGTGGAGCAGAACAGAGCCCACAACTCTGTAATGATTAACAAATGATTAACGTAGCTGTAGAAAAAAAACATACTGTAAGGACTCTCTGGGAGGGCGGCTGATATAGGACAAGGGAGCCAGGCAGCAGGGTACACCTGGCTGGCCGTGGGCGGAGCGCTGTCTGCTTCTTTTGTGTCGCCTTCTACCACCTACTCAGAGACTCCCTATTCAGGTGAAACTTATTGATTTGGCTCGGTCTACCATAGTGTGCCCACAGATGATTATTCTGTTTTTCTCTAAAAATCATTCTCTGAAACACGAAAAACAATCTTGACATCTTATAATGATTAACTACCATATTCTCAACAAATATGGGACTGCAGAGTTGTTGGAGGTGACAGTCGCTCTAAGCTGTTGTCCCCTGGTCCTTTCTCTCTTACAGCTGACTTGTTCGTGCCTGATTCTTCTGTGTGCACCGTTATGGAAAGTGGCAACGTAAAATGCATAACCAAGGTAAAATGAATAACCTGGGCATTCCTAATACTACTAAAGAATTTTAATTTGTACTTAAATACTTTCTGGGAAAGAAATGTTTGAGAACAGATGATTTCATTCACAAATTCTACTAAACATTTAAAAATGATATCATACCAATTCTATATAATGTCTTCCATAAATGGAAGAAAATGGGACATTTCTCAACTCATTTTATGAGGCAAGTCATACTTTAAAACTTGAACTAGACAGATGGTACAGCATAATTGCTCTCATGAACACAGACACACATATCTTCAGTAAAATACTAGCAAATGGAATTCAGCAATATATAAAAAGAATAATATAGCAGCATGACCAACTAGGGTTTATGCCAGGAAGTCAAGGATAGTTCAATATTTGAAACTCATATCAGGGGCACCTGGGTAGCTCAGCTGGTTAGGTGTCCGACTCCTGATTTCAGCTCAGGTCATGATCTCACAGTTTGTGGGTTCAAGCCCTGTGTCAGGCTTTGGGCTGACAGCTCAGAGCCTGGAGCCTGCTTTAGATTCTATGTTTCCCCCTCTCTCTCTGCTCCTTTCCAGCTCACATTCTCTCTCTCTCCTCTCTCTCTCAAAAATAAATAATAAAAACATTAAAACTAGTAAAACATAAAGTAAAGAAAACGTCAAGAAATACAAGATTATTAAAAAACAAAACCTACCGCTACTTTCTCCCAGTTATCTGTACAGCACCCCGAACACATAGAATCCGATATTTTCCCTCTCACTATGCTTTTATTCATTCATTTAATACACATGCATGTACCACCTAATATGAGTGATTTAGAAATAACTAAGAAAGAATTCTGACTGATGGGAAGAACTCAAGATAGGCATTCCCTTCTCCTCTGGGGTTTTTACAATAGTAACATGTTCTTATCTTATGCTAAAAAATAGTATCCAAGCAATGTGCAGAGAGCAAAGCTGTTTTCCCAAAATGGCATCATGAGGCGGGGAAGGGACATTTTAGAGATACGGAAAATGAACTGAAATTCAAGGTAGATTCTACAGATGAGGAAATTGAACTGAGGTTGAGTGACAGGCCCAGTATCACACGAATATTAGAATTAAAACAACTAACTCTTCAAATTCCCAGGGCGAGGGCTTCAATTCCATTTCAAAACATTTTGTGCTGATGATGCAATACATTTCAAGAATCTCAAAATTGTTCAGACCTCTGTTCTAGTTGTTCCATTTCTGGGAATTTAAGGACATAACATGAAATGTCCACACAGATTTATGCAAAAGACATTTGGTGCAGTGTTATTTACAGCAGTTAAAAATCTGGATGTCTAGACTTGGGATATAAGGAAAACCATGGATGCAGTAGTCTATCCTTTATAAACGTTTAGAAGCAGCATGATTATTTGGAAACATGTTGTAAACAGTGTCAAATGAAAAGAACAGGATCTGACATTTTACGTACAAAGTAATCCTAACTGGATTTTAATAGTTCTGGGGAAAGATCACAGGAACACTGATGGATAAAGGAAACACTAGTATAGCATTTTCTACGTCTGTTTCAATAGCATCAAAAGTATACATAACCTTCTCTGAAAAAGATGCACAAATGGTCAAAAAGCACATGTAAAGATGCTCAGCAAAATTAGGCATTAGAGAAATGCAAATCAAAGCCACAATGAGATACCACTCCACGCCTCACTAGGATGGCCATAATAACGACAGTGACAACAACGAAAATACCAAGTGTTGGCAAGGATGTGGTGCAGTTGGAACCCTGGTGGGAATGCAAAGTGGTGCAGCTGCTGTGGAAAACAGTTTGGCAATTTCTCAAAAAGGTAAGCATAGATGTGCTGTATGACCCAGCAAGTCTACTCCTGAATGAACATAAACCCAGGGAAACTGAAAGCAGGTGTACAAACAGGTGCATCTGCTAGTGGCGCTATGCACAGTGGCCAAAGGGTGGAGGCAGCCCAGGAGTTCAACCAATGAATGGAAAGCAAAGCATGGTGTGTCCATGCTTATAGACATACATTCTATAATAATAGAATAGTATTCAGCCATAAAAAGGAATGGAGTGGTTTTTAAAATGGGAGGGGAAAAAAGAAATGTAGTGCAAATGTAATCTGCAGCATGGATGCTCCCAGATACATTGTGCTGGGTGAAGAAAGTCAGACATGGGGGTCACAGATGGTATGATTCCATGTATTGAGAGTCCAGAATGGACAAAACCCAAGAGAAGCATCTCCATCCTTACCTTGCAGGGCATCCTCATGCTCTTCCTCTAAGGCTCTTCGCTGTTCATCAAGTTTCTCTTGAAGCTCCAGCTCCCTCTCCTTCTCCACCTGGGGACAGAATGTGGTAAGTAGCGTGAGTCTGAGCAGGTTCAGTGCAGCTTCGCTCATCCACTCCCCAAACCCTGGAGCTTTGCAGAGGTTGGTGATCAGAGTCCCACCCCGTCCCCTACGTGACGGAGACGACCTGGGCTCAGAGTGGGCACAAGGCCTCCAAGACACCGTAGGTGTGGCTGACTTTGCCTTCTTTAGGGCTTAGAAGGGGGCTCCTAGAGAGCTGTCCAGGTGGAAGGGATGTAGGAGTTTTCCAACCCTGATGCCCGTTCCAGGCAGGAAGTCTGTCTACTGTATCACAGGGTTTCCCGACCTTCCATTGCATATAATGAATATAATGAATTACATGCAAGCAGTTACAAATATATATTCAAAAGATAAAGACTCCCTTCTTGGTAATGGAGTAAGAGATAGTTACAACAACAAAATCAAAAGTTGGTCCTTACTCTGGGATATACCGAGGTTAGCTGAGTAGGAGGTGTCCTCCTGAGAGAGGGGTTGTGTCACCTGGACTTACTTGTTCTGCCCATTTCTTCCTGTCCTCTTCGTGTTGCTGGAGAATTCTGGTTATATCCTTCTGGCGCCGTTCATCCTCCTCAGATGTATAGAGCCGGACAGTGGTGGCTGTGAGTGAGGAAGCACAAAATGCACACAGAGCAGAGGAGAAGCCAGGGCCCGCTAGAGAGGATGTGGGAGGCCAGGGCTAAGGGACGAGGACTCCAGTCTCCGCCTCAAGAATGGCTGCAGTTGGGAGATGAACCTCCAATGCCACCCACCCCCCCCTCCACCTTGCACATCTCTCTGGCTTGGGAGACCATCCTTAGTGCAGGAGCCAGTGGGCTCATTTTGTCCCTTAGGACCTACAGCAGAGCCAGTAACTTGCAGGATAGACTCAGCCTGTAAAGTGCAATGTGCTCTAGCTAATATAATATCTAAATGAAAAAGTAATTAGTTGCAGGGCATCTGAGTGGCTCAGTCTGGTAAGCATTGGACTCTTGATTTTGCCTCAGGTCATGTTCTCACGGTTCACGAGTTCAAACTCCTGCATTAGGCTCTGTGCAGACAATGCAGAGCCTGCTTGGGATTCTCTCTCTCTCTCTCTCTCTCTCTCTCTCTTTCTCTCTCTCTCTTGCTGCCCCTCCCCTGCTCACACTGTCTCTCTCTTCTCTCTCAAAATAAATAAATAAACATTAAAAAACACTAGCTGCTAAGATTTACTAACTGGGCAGCTTTTACTTCATATACAGATGTCCAACTTGTTTGGAAAGAGCCAGAGAACTGGCAGCGTGTAGCTTTGTGCCCCCCAGGAGCTGAAACTGAGGCAGGCCTCTCTCCCATTTCATCCGGGGTGTGGCTCTGCCACTCACCCCAGTCATCACCTCTCTCCTGAGGCTGCGTATAAGGGTTGCCTCATCACCTGCTTACCTGTGGGTGTCTGAGTGTGTGACCCCTGACCTTTAGCACCCCCACCCCCACCCCAGCTGGAGGCAGAGGGGCTGCTGTGAGTGGGAAGGAGACGCCAACAGGAAGCGTAGCTCTTGCTTAGGGAAACGCCAAAACCGGCCCTGCGGACGCTGCTCTGAGTCCAGTAGACTCTGGGTGTGACCTAGGGCATGACCCATCCCCTCTGTGCCTCAGTTACCCAATATGTGAAATCAGGATAATACTAATACCACCTCACAGGGCTATTGAGATGATTCAACCAGGAAACAATGACAGCAGGGATAATAGCAGCAAGGTAAGGAATATGGAGAGCTCATCATGCCCCGGGAACATGCCAGCCCCGTTCCAAGTGCCTCACGGTAATACTCGCTTAGTCCTCACAACAACCCAGTGTGGTGGGTACCGTGACTATCCCCACTTCACAGATGAGGAAACAGAGACAGAGAAGTGATGCAACTTGTCCAGGATCGCCAGCTCACAGTCGGGGAGAAGGGCTGTAAATACACTGTCTGATCCCATGGCAAACATTCCTAACTACCACCTTATCCTGCCTGCTTACGCACAAAAAGCAGTAAGCAGAGAGCCAGGCGTTTAGAAGTAGCTCAATAAGTGTTCTTTATTGTTTACAAAATGTCCTCTGGATATTCATTACTGCTCAGGACAAGAATTAGGAGGGTCAGCATTACTGGTGCAGTTGGCATTATTATTGTTAGTATTATTACTACAGAGCTCCAATCGACCGGGTTGGCAAAGGGCATGAGGAGAAAGGTGAGGAATGGGGTTGCTAGACAGGAAGTTGGCACTGGGGGAGTGAGTCAGTGCCCTGAGTCCTGGGGGAGGGCAGTGGTCAAGTACAGAGAACCCCAGAGTCAATCAAACCATTTGGTTCCGCATCTGAAACTTTGGTCCACGACCTGGCCCCAGCCAGGGAGAGGCTTATAAGACAGATATATCGTCGCCAGCAACAGTCTCCAGTCCCACCCCAGGGATTCTTATTAACTTGGTCTGCGGCGGGGCCCCAGAATCTGTATCCTTGACCTTCCCCCAAGTAATTCTTGTACACGGGTAGGTTATAGAACCTCTGAATTCTGGTCCAATTGCTTATCTGGTACTTACACCTCATCAACAATGTCCCTGACAGTCTCCAGTCTGTAACTGAACACTTTTAGAGATGGAGAGCTCATTTCATTACTAGGTAGCTCTGATGGTTCTAAACCAACAATCACACAAAAAATCCTTTCACATTGAACTGAATTCTGCCTGCCTGTTTCTGCCGCCTTGCGGCCCTTCTACTGACCTGTGAGTCACACTGAACAAGGCTTATCTTTCTTCTCTATGAGGGTACTTCAGACACTTGGAGAGCACTGCTGTGTTTTGCTGCAGTATCTTCTTTCCAAGTAGAACATCCTCTGCTCCTTTAACTGCTTCTTATAGAACATGGCTTCTAGATTCCTCACCAGCCTGATCTGTCTCTGCTGTATTCCCTACAGTTTTTCTGGATTCTTCTGAAAATGTACTTTCCAGAAACAAACTCAGCACTCTATGTGTGGCATCAATAGCTAGCAACAGGCCAGCACAGGTCAGAACTATCACCTCCCTGATTTTAGACATGATACTCCTATTAATGTAACTTACTTAAGGTCTCATGGGATAATTAAATAGCGATATCACCGTTGTTGATTATAAGGTAGGAAACCTGATCGATGGTGGGGAGGGCATATATAGGGCCGGCCACTCACCTGTGTCCCCATTGAGGGGACCTAGTTCCTGTGGCTGTGGTCTGGGTGTCTGATCTGGTTTTTGGCGCCTCTGGAAGAAAGGAGACAACAATGAGGGTGGAGGGTAGAGGTCAGTGCTAGGATCGCTGCTATAGTAGGATCCTTCCATAGGCAAGACAGAACTTACGGTTATGCCAGAGCTTGCCCTGTATCCAGGTACTTAGGCTGCCTCCCACACAAGCCGAAGGCAGCAATCCATCTTCAGGGAAGGGGTACCCAGAGCAGAATTTCTCATCATTGCCAGGCAAACCCTCACTGGGGAGTTTGATGCTGGTTGACCTCTCCTCAGAGTCTTGTATTTGTGCCGCCATCCACGGGGCCCTCCCTGACCACCTCTTCCTTCTCCCAGCACTTGGCCAGACCTTCTGCTATTACCCTCACCCCAGTTATGGCTGAAACTTCCCAACCTCTAGTTCAGAGACAATTCTCCTTCCCTTTCAGGGCCTATGGCTACCACAACTTCCTTCCAAGTTCCCCATATTGGGGGCAAAGCATCAGAAGTTCAAGCCATGATTTTACATGCTTATTCTTTGAAGAGGGGGTATTTCCCCAACTATAAAGAGGCAGGGGTACCTACCTTGACAGATGTGGGTAAGACACCATACTCAAGATGTACTGGACACTCTGCTGTCTATCTATACTATCTTGGCTAATCTTCAGAATGATCCTGGGAAATAGGAATATCCCCAATTTAAAGATGAGGAAGCTGAGGCTGAGTGAGATTAGGGCTGAACCAAAGCAGATTAGTGGATAATTGGCCAGTCCTGTATTGTCTGAGCCTTACCTCTGGGCACTTTAACCAAGCTTGGCCAGGATTGGCTGAATCTGATCAAAGGAAGAAATGGATACCAAAGGCTAAATCCCAAAGCAATGTCAGTGGCTCCCAGATACTCAAATTTCATAAATCGTATTTTTTCATAGGAGAGTTGATATGGGTTGACAAGCAAGGATGCTAAAAAAAACATTATTTGCAGACTAACACTATCATTTCCTAAAACAGAGGACATCTTGACCTTCCAAAATACAGCAAGGAAAGCTCAAGACACTTCTTCAGGAGAAGGGAACTGACGTCCCTCCTCAATGTAAAACACACACTTACACCTTTAATTTTCTCATTTCACCCCAGATGGGTGGAAAGTCAGTCAAGTCCTGGCACGAGCCACTGAACCAGGACCTGGGATAGGAAAAAAAATTAAGCCATTTTGTACATTTTTAAATATGTTCTTGGATGTTAACTAGACTTATTGTGGTGATCATTTCACAATATATACAAACATCTAATCTTTCTTGTACACCTGAAACTAATGTTATATATCAATCATATCTTCCAAAAAAAGATGCTCTTTAAAAAATGAAAAAAAAATTCTAGGTTCCATTCTAAGAAATACTTGGTGTGCCTGGGTGGCTCAGTCAGTTAAGCATACGGCTTCGGCTCAGGTCATGATCTCACGGTTCGTGGGTTCAAGCCCCACATTGGGCTCTGTGCTGACAGCTCAGAGCCTGGAGCCTGCTTCAGATTCTGGGTCTCCCTCTCTCTCTGCCTCTCCCCTGATCACACTGTCTCTCAAAAATAAATAAATGTTAAAAAAAAATTTTTTAAGAAATACTGAAAAATAATAAGTCAGCCCATGAAAAGGCTATGAAAATGTTCAGTGGTGAATTATCACCGTAAAGGAAGACCTTTACTTATTACCATGGTAACATTTTTAAAAGTAAATTTGTGAATAAAAATGATTAACTTCCTGAACTCAAGAATGCCTGAAATGCTGCTAGAAAGCACACTTCTGGTTGGGGAGGGAGATAAGTCAAGGGAAGGCTTCTACGACTTTCTGCTCCTGCCCCGCAGTGCCCAGCACAGAGCCTGGTACGGTGTGAGCCCCTGACCAACTGGACCCGAAGTGGCACGCCCCACCCCCCCTGCCCAGGCCCTGGTGCCTCCAATCTGCTCAGTGGCCAGGCATGCCTGACAAGTGAGTTCCTCTTCCACCCTGTGACGACTCGACTTGCCCTGCCCAGGGGAGAGGGGATGCCTGGCCCAAGGAACAAGCCAGGGAAGCTGTCAAAGCAGGAACCCGGGGAAGTGACAGCAGCCAGCCTCTACCCTGGGCTGCAGGAAGGAGATAAGTGGTGGTCTCATCCCTGTTGCCACGGCTGCTTGCGCTAATCTGGGAATGCTTTCGTGGGACCGAGAATTCCCGAGTTCCAGGCCTGGCTCTACAAAGCTGGAAAAATCTTCTCCCTCCTCCAGGCTCCTGCTCTCTCCTTTGTGAAATAGAGGCCAGGAGGTCTTAGTCAATCCCCATGGTGTTCATATTCTGAGCCTCTGACCTCGGCTCTTCTCAACAGCACTGACAGGCAGGGCTGTCGCAGGTGAGGACACTGAAACCCAGAGACATAAGCCGCCATCCCACTGTGTCCTGATGTCAAAATCAAGATCAGGACCAGGCCTCTGCACTGGGGCATCTGGGTGGCTCAGTCAGGCAAGCGTCTGGCTTCAGCTCAGGTCATGAACTTGCAGTTCCTGAGTTCGAGCCCCAGGTTGAGTTCTCTGCTGTCAGCACGGAGCCTGCTTGGGATCCTCTTTCCCTTTTCCCCTCTGCTCCTCCCCTGCTCTCTCTGCCTCAAAAATAAATAAAATAAACATTAAAAAAAAAAAAAAAAGAACCAGGTCTCAGCACTTTAGAGACTGGAGCAGCGTGGTTAAGAACTCTGGGATTCTAGAATTACCCAGACCTGGATTTGAATCTTAAATCTAACCCCGTGTGACTGTATGGCCTGTCCAAACCTTGGTATTCTACTGAGGTTGCTTTAAGGATTAGATGGGATAATGTACCTATAATGTCAGGCATATTCTTAAGAGCTCAAACGTAGCCTGAGTTTATTACTTTCTCTTGAAAAGCACACGAATGAGGATCCTGACATGCTTTGGGAGAGCTCCCTCAGACTCGCCTGAAGTAAGATCAAAAAGCTCATGAGAAACTGTCTTCTTCCAAATAACCACCACAGAGAAGTGAAAAACTCCTCCACAAACAGCCTCTAGACCACAGGCAGGATGTGACTACATGCTTGAGTCCCCTGATCCTAACGAAATCACTCCCGGGATTTCTCCTTCAAATGACATCCAAGACTCATCACCGTCTGTCCTCAGGCTACCATCTACCACGTGCTCCTTATTTCCTAAGTAAATACTTGTAAACATCTTCTTCCAATTATCGTAATGATAAGAGATACATTTGTTCATTAAAGGAATGTTACCTAGGCTTCCTTATATTTCAATCTTTCAAATATATGATGAGCATTTACTACCTGGCATTAAATATTCTGCACACATATTAATTTTTATGAGTCAAATATTACCTCCTTGTGGATGAACTCAATCATTTTTGAATAATCTGCATGAGGATTTTAGTTATTTCCATTTTTTTAATTTCCAAATTATGCTTTAGTGAACACACGGACTTTTTTTTTTACATATCTAAAGCTCCGGGTTCGACCCTCCAGAAAGGTCCTACAAAGGAACTCACCCACTAATAGCACACACGATGGCCAGAGTCACTGCAACCTCACCAACGTGGACTGGTATCACTTTTACAAAAGAATTGGCAAATTTGCTGGGCCCAAACCAAACAGGCCTACGGTACTCCTGGTCCTAATATGCACATCCACGCTGCTCAAGGCCATCCCAGCATGAGTTGGGATGTATGCAGTCTCAGGCTTCCAGGCTGAGTTGGTGTAACATTTCTCCTGGGTCTCTCCCCAGGGCCAAGCCGCTTCCTATCAGCTCTATGCTCCAGCGCCTGTTCAGACACCCACGTGAGTACCTACCTGGTTACCCAGGTTTCTCCAGCTAGGTCCTTCTGGAGGACCAGGACCATTTTTGAAATCCACTTGGGATTTGTCCCAGCGTCTGTTAGGAGGCCCAGAGCCGTATTTCTAGGAATGTGGTCCACCAGCCTCCGGCATCAGAGCCACCTAGAGCGCTTGCTTAGCACAGCCCCCTGGCCCAGTTCTAGACCCACAGCATCCAAGGGTGGTGCGTGTGCCAGGAAGCTGCCATCTGCCCATCCACGCAGGTGGTTCTGATGCTCACGTATGCCTGAGGACGCAGAGCCCGGGGCGCAGTAGGAACTGAGGAGCAGCTACTGCACGGAAACTCCTCCGGTTGGGACTCTGGCAGCTTCCTCCCCAGAGGCCACGGAGCAAGTTCACCCTGCGGTGGGAGGGGATAGGAGCTGGGAGGGGGACTCAAGAATTTCCCCTTCCAAAAGCAGAGCGGGGAGGCCCAGGGCCGGGGTGGGACCTCCTGATCCAGCTCTGGAGGAGGGATGGCAGGGTCAGTGGGGGGTTTCCTGAGTCAACAGAAACTTGGGAGAAGAGAGCTGGGGTGGGGGACACCTCCAGCTTCACTGTGAGACTTCCGGGAAGTCCCCCACTCTGGTCCTCAGTTTCTCTGTCTGCCATGCACCGGGGCTGGCCATCGCAGCACGAGTTGGGATGTATACAGTCCAGGGCAGCCCCGGCAGAGTCAGGGCAGAGAGGGAGGGGAGTGGCCAGAGCTGTGGAGAAGCCAGATGAGCTCGCATCTAGTCTAGTAAGACCCCTAGAACATGCTTGCATCTTGAAGAGTAAACTGACAAACTGAATGCATCCAGAAGGAGCTGACAAGATGGGGTAGGAGGCACAAAACCAAAGCATAGGAGGTGCTATTACCAGAACAAGTTGGTCAGTCTCAAGAACAGATGAGAAAACCTGGCCACTGCCTGAAAATCTCGCAGGACTATCATAAGGTAGAAGCTCTAGTGTGTGGCCCACAGCCTTGGAAGGCACGACTGTGGCTGAGGACTAGAAGTTTTGAGAAGTTTCAGTTCAACATGAAGAGTTTCAGAACCGTCCCTAGAACAGAGATGTGCTGCCTTACTAGAGGTTGGGGTTTGGTGGTAGTAGTGAGTTCTCCGTCACTGGTAGCATGCAAGAAGAGGGAACTTCATTTTGCAGGTTGGACTGAGTGATCACAGAGGACCTTCAACTCCA